GAGCAGCCTGGCTGCCTTCTGTGCACTGGGCTGCATGGCCCACGGGCAAAAAATGCCATGTGCAAGGGAGGGCTGCAGCAAGAGCAGCTTGTCCAGCTCAGCATCCGCTGTGGAGAACCAGCTGCAGGCTGGGTGAGCTCTCCTGGGAGGGATGTCTGTAGCTACCCAAGCTAAAATATGTTTTGCAGCCCAACAACTTTTCTGTTCCTGAATAACTATCAATTTACAGAAGACCCAAAGTGATCTCTTTACAGGGACGTTTTCAGGCTTAAAATACAGTATCACATATGAAGGTTGTACCAAAAATAAAATTAAAACCTAGGGTAAGGATAGCACAAATATTTCAGTAAAGGTGCAGAAAACTTCCAGTTTTGAATAATGCCACTTAAGTATTTCCTTGCTTCCTTGAACTGCTGCTTCCTTCTTCTTGGAAAAGGCAATATAAGAAATCTCTAATGATTTATTGAGTGATTCAGGCCCATCACCTGCTGTGGTTTCCCAGGATGGAGAACATAAGCCACCCCGTTATCATCGTGGTGCCTAGCAGTAACAATGAGCCAAGCAGTTAACATTCAGGGGACTGCTTACTGATCAGATAAGCAACACTGAACTTCTTGCCTTTAAAATAGGCTGAAAGACAGGATGTTGTTTGTGTGTTTGTTTTTTTTTTTCCCAATTGAATACACATAGATGGTTTTCTGTTGTAAAAAAAAATAAATATGTGTTTTGTGAGAAAAATGAGGAAGAAGGTATATTATTTCCAGCGAACCATGCATAAAATTGTAATATTTCTGTGTTTTAACTATAATATTCATTCCATATAAACCAACCTAATAGGAAGAATCAGGATGACACATATCAATAACAGAATTCCTGTTTTCTTGTTAAGTAAATAGAGGCTCTTCAATTTTTTTTTTTGTTTGTTTAAAACAAAGAAAAGGTCATTACCTTATATATTATTTGGTGGGGTTTTTTTTTCAGTAAAATAAATATTTGGGTTCAACGAATATTTCCATAAATAAATATTTGTGCTCAACAGTACAAGCCTTCCTTTCCACAATGTGTCATTTTTTCTTGCTTACAACTATTGTTGCCATGCAGCAGAATCCCACACATTGATGTTTCATTTTTAAATATTTCCTAAAAGGCAATATTTGGAAACACTGCAGCAAAAATGTCCCTTGTAGGCAGAGCTGAGGAACTCTAACTCCTTTACCTGTTGTCAATATTAAAAAGCTTCTGTAATTTTTTATTCTTTGCAGTGATTTTCCAAACTTGCAAGAAATAATTTAAGAGCCAAACTGCACTGAATAATTGTAAACTAAAGCAAGAACTGCTGGAAACAGTGATTTTTTTCTCAGCATCTTCATCTCCCACCATGTTCAGTGGGAGCAAAGGGAATTCAGGAATCTCAGAAAATCCAAATTCCTAATGAAGAACAATGCTTATTCCTATATAATTTCTCCTGAGAAAGCATGCACGTAACTCAATATGTCCCTGTTTAATATTAGTTTCCTATTTCACACTGATTCATCTAGTGGCAGCTACATGTTTTTAATAACCCTCTATCCTGTAGCACTTCTGGCCCAGGAGGAAAGCACAGGGGCACTGCAGTAAACAGCAATACTCCCCCACTGTGTTACATACAGCATCCTGATCCAGGGATCATTTCCCCCGCCCACCTCTGGAGCTGGTTGAACATGACACAGCTGCCATGTGCCAGGCAGAGCAGACCAAACCCAAAGGGCTATCTGATTCAAGGGGAGTCTTATGTGTACCCAGCCTCTGTGGATCACAACCAGAAATTTCCTCAGCCTCCCAGGAGCCAGGCATTTCAGGGACGCTGTCTTTAAGAGCCCTGAAATGCAGCATTTCCCAAACAAGATGGCCTGAGATGCCACCAGTGCTGGTGGGAAGATCTGAGCCAAGAACAAGGGCACAGAGCCAACCCTATGGGCTCCGTCCACCGAGGACTGCAAAGCTTCTCAGGACCCGAGCATGTGGCTCTGGAGTTGTTTGCCAGGGCAAGGGTTTTATCTTGGGCACTTTGAAAATTTATCAAGCACACAAAACGCTGCAGACAACGCTCCAGGCTGAAGGAATCAGCACTGTGTGTATGCCAGCAAACACCGGGATAGCTCTAGATAGGCAATTAGATTGCTGCAGAGGTGTAAAGTACATTGTGTTTTGGAAACCAAGGTAATGAGACAAGGAGCAAGAAACAAAAAAAAACAATTACAGGCACAAATATTTCAATTCCATGCTAGTATATTTCTGACAAATTTCTTGAATCCTCTTGCCCTGACCTGCATTGAATTTTTGTTATTATTTTAATACGAGGCTGAAATAGAAACAATTCCAACCTCAAATTTGCTCTTTCTATGGTATTAAAAATGATTGTTAAGTTTGTGAGATACATTCCAAAACACTTTTTGCAAGGAACCTTTTTTCAGTGGATTTTTTTCACAGAACCACCTTATTGTCTTAAATATATTAAACGTGGGCACATGGATCTGAATAAAATAAAGAATGTTAACAAAAATTTACATCTCCCCTGAAAAGGCTTGGTCTGAGCTGCTAAAAGTGAAGTGAAACTGTAGGTATCTTAGATTATGATGAAAGGATTGTATTTTGCATGGAAGTCCCTCTACATTTTTGCCTATCAAATAAAAAAATGAAGAGGAAAGTGATACTGAAGCAATGGTGAGGCTGTGACACTTTGGAGACCTGCAGTTGTGTTTCTGGAAAGCACTTTCCAGATCAGAGCCAAAACCATCTTTCCTGTCCAGAGAAGTTGCTAGCTCTGTTAGGAAGAAAAGGGTAAAATCAATAATCACTTCTTTAATTCCACAGTGCTGTATCTTCATCATTCTCCTGCATTCAAAAAACTGTACCTTTCTCAAGAAGGCAGGGTCTGTATCCAGCTTAGCTCTGAGGGAGCTACAGCCATGCTATTTTCTCCCTATTTATGATTTTCTCACACCAAAACTGTGCTTTCCCCTTTCTCTCAGAAATAAACAACGAGAAACTCTTGGAGCTTCTTGTAAAGCAACAGTAATCTGTTGTTCCTTACCAACCAGGAGGACACATTATGTAGCAGAGATGGTGTGGCTGCTGTAAAAGTAGGTAATTCCTGCTTCCTTTTGATTCAATTATTACAAGAAAATACTTAATAAAAATATCTTGGGCCAGATTAATTTTTTTCATTTTGAAATGCCATGAACAGCTCAAATCTTGACCAGACTCTCTGGAATGGTCATAGACTGGGCTTCTGGTACTGTATGTGGCTTCATGTTAAAGGTCAGGGAAAATGCCATCCTGCTGAAAAAGCTCAGTAACTTGAAATTTACACCACAGCTACATAGCTAAGCAAGAGAATTGTCTCAGCTGTAGGATAACCCCATCACACTAGTTTTCAGGGTGTAGGGGCACTGATGCCTGCAGGAGGGGTTGACACAGGTGGTAGTGTCCAGGAATGGTGGAGGAAGCATCAGCAGCACATCAGCATGGTGTAGTCACATCCCACACTCATGTACCTGGGTGTGGAACCACACCAAGAGGTCATCGCTCTCAAAGGCAACACCAGTTAAGAGTTTTCAGAGCTCTGCCTTGAGCATTACAGCCCTTTTACAGTCCCTGGAGGCACCTGCATCCCTGGGGAGCTGCAGTTGCATGGCTGAGTGTTCTCACACTGCACACATGACATTTTCTACATTCACGACACAAACCCAGCACAAATTTTACTAGCTTTTGTTTTTCTTTTGCTGTGGTAAGGAAAAAGATCATCATCAAATAATATAAGGACCATTAAAAGCTCAATATTCTGCTACGGTGATTGGTTTATGGCCTCATTTTGCAGCAGGTTTCTTTATCAGGTGTGCAGCTTCATTGCCTGTCCTATAGCCCACACACTTTGTGAGTTTGTTATCTGCAGGTCACTGTGCTTCTGTTTCTAGAATAGCCAATACTTGGCACAGGAACTGGTCTGGAGTGAACACTGCAGAAGACCTGAATTTCCAACCTCCTAGCCAGTTTTGGCACTTTATCTCCACAGATTTCTGTGAAGACAGAAGGAAAAAACCTGTGGGTTAGGGATCAGATCTTGCATTGCTGATAGCTTCTGTTGAAAAACCAGGTTACAAAACACTACTATGAAAAATAACTCTGCTTCATTGTCTGTTAATTGACTACCCTTAGCCAAACCCAACTAAAATGTTGTTATATCCCTTAGGTGATGGAGCTGTCTCACACCTTGAAGACAGGAAGAGCAAAAGAGTAATGCCTGAAAAATGCCATGCTGTCTCCTCCACAACATGGTAAAAGCTCACACATTTGAAAACTGTAAACATATTCCAACTCACATTTATTCATGTTACTGCTTTCACATTGATGTGGTGCAAGGTACTGCTCATTTCAGATGGAGCCACCAACATGCCCCAGTAAACTCTTGATATCTTTTATACCATGAATTAATACTGTACTCAGAACATTAATAAATACTTGAAAAGTCTGTAAATGACCTACGCTGAACTCCTTTGTAAAAGTGTTTACCTTATTTAAATGGATTTATTTTGGTGTCAAAATATAATATACCATGAACGGCTGGATGCAACTGTTCTGGCAAATTTTGTCCATCTGGTATGGTCTTTGTCACTGTTGTAAATCTGCCCAAGTTTGGGATTGAGCAGAAAGTGATGAAGAATCTGCAGAGCCAAACTAGACTTGATCTTCAGATGCTCACTTTGCTCTCATTAAAAGCAGCAGGTCTTAAAGCAATGCAGCACTTCCCAGGGAGCTCCTGTGGGCTCAGTGATCTGCTGCTCTGGTGATGCCACAGTCCAGGATGAAGTTCCTCTGGTTTCTTTGAGCACATCAGACTCCCTCGCACTCACATGTGCATGCCTGTGTGTGTGCACATCTGTGTGCTACACACCAACCCCAGAGAGCAAAACCAAGCAGCCATGTTAAGTACATGATGTGGTGGTCCCTGGCTGTGCCCTTTAGACACAGCCTTCGTGGCAGACGTGGTTGCCATTGATGAGGCTGAAGGTGGCCAGGGAATGGTTGGTGCTCTTGAGGGAGGTCATTCGTGTGGTGCTCCTGGCCATGCTCTGGGACCGGATGAGGAGGCGAGCTCTGCAGCAGAAGAGCTGGTTGTTGAACTGTTTCCGAAAGCTCTTGCTGAGCAAGTAGAGAGCAAACGGGTTGACACAGGAGTTAGTGAATGCCAGAATGCGAGCGCAGATGCTGGCAATGAAGTGCAGCACTGAGGTGTCCACCTCCGAGTAGTGGTAGGACCGGTATAAATAGATGATGTGAGTGGGAAGCCAGCAGAAGGCAAAGAGGCACACAAAGACCAGTACTGTCCTGGCCAGGCGCTTGCGCGATTCAATCTGGAGGAAGAAACAGAAACGCAGATGAGCAGCTGTTCCTAGCTCAGACCAGTAGCTAATTTTTTCTGGTGCTCCAGCTTTGGGGTTAGGACACAGAAGGTGGCACAGCCAGAGAAGGGCAATCTGCACCACAAGTGAACACAAAGAGAGTCAAGAACTCTTCTTGTCTTTTCTCAGTCCCCTTCCCCTAAAAACAATAATTCTGAAAATTTATTACATAAGGAAGTATTCTTCCCTTTCTTGTTTAGAGATTAAACTCTAATGGCTTTTGACTTTATAAAATCACAGCTCAGGAAACAAAACTGTAAGCACCTGCATTAGTTATCCCCATATAATATATATGTTAGCATGTCATTTATATATATTAACTTATTATTATTATTACTATTATTATTATTAATTATGGGGTGGGGGTCTGGGATATTTCACAAAGCCCAGAGGCAGGACTTTCCGTCTTGGGGCCATGTGGTATATGTACACAGAAGTTCTGCCAACAGTTCAGAGCCTTTAGAGACCCAGCGCAGCACACCGAGTCCAAAGGAGCTGGAGAAACCAAGAGAGGAAATTCTGTACTTGGAGAAACACTGAGACAATGTTGAGGTGACCCTTCAGCTGAAAGAGCTGGGGCCATGAGATGAGGATAGATGTAGGTAGTGAACAGATGGAAGATCACCTTTCTCTAGCATAATTCGAACTTCTTCAAAGAAAAGTTTTTTACAATATCATACAGCATAACCTTCACGCAGACAAGCCACGTTTTTGTTTTACTTATGTGTACAGGCTTGGAGTCAACCCAAAGGTATTGCTCAACCAAGGGCAGCTGAGGTAAACGGTGCCTTGTCTTTTGTCCACCAGTGCCACACACTGTGATAACAATACCACTGAAAATACATCTTTCCTCCTAATGAAGACAAGAGCTGCGATAGAGGTCACCCAAAAGGAGAGGACAGATCAAGTTTATCAGAAAGATCTGCTGAAATACCCTGCTCCCTGGGAGAGGTTACACAGCCACAATTTTGCAGGCACAGAAGGTGTAACACCACTGACTTTTCAGGGCTACATAATGTTCCCTTTTCTGGTAATCCCTGTACCTCTTCCCAAGCACTCCCAGGGAACTTGTTGCAACTCACTCCCTGTAGTTGACTGGCCTGACACTGTCCCGAGCCCCAGCTCTGATGCCCTTTTTCCTGCCATGGTGCAGCCAAGATGCCTGGCCAGGCTCCTGGGACACTTCCCTATCCTCACTCCCCTTCCATGCTGCACAGGTACATCAGAAACTCACACAGGCTGATCTTTCCTTAGGACAACTGCAAGAAGGGAGTAGGAAGAAGAGGCCTAAGCCCAATTTGACTTTATTTTGTGCTTCTTTCACAGCACTGACTGAAAATCAGCCATTGAACTTAGGTGGGATTGACATGTACCAGATAGTAATGTCTACAGAGAGAGGGCTGAAAATTAAATCCTTTGAAAAAGGGCTCTCCTTGGCTAAACCATACATTCTTTTAAAGCATATCCTTAATTTGATTTAGGGCTATTGAGGCTGCATCACATAAAGAAAGGAAGCAACACAATAAAGAAATCGATACAAGTTACCTGTAGCTCATGGATGTGCCACAGGATGGAATGATGGACTGATGGTACTAGACTGCAGCCTGGCCTTTTGCTTTCTTTGGAGCTCACTCCCCAAAACCAAGGGAGGAAAAGGGCTGCTTTTCCCTCTCACTTTATTGTTACTACTCAAAACAGTCATTGAATCAGCAGAAAAATGGCCTGCAGGGGAGAAAGCTTTGCGCACATTCAGAAGTGGAAAAGGATAAGGATTTCAGAGATCACACATCATTTACTGGGAAATAAAAACAGCTTTCCAGCCCTACTGCTTCACCTTAGTACCTGAAGGCTATGTGAGATGATTGTGTTAGGTCAACCTAAGGTGGAGACATCAGCTGGGTGACATTATATGGGCATTTGCTGAGCTGAAGAATGGCTTGTGTCAGTTGAGCTTAGGTTGAAGCAAACTTCAGTTGAGAGGAATAAGTGAGGTAAATACTTATAACTTGTTTGGAAACAAGTTACCCTGATGTTGCTTTCTTACTTGAACACCATAAGGCTCAGATGCACTCAAATTTAAGGGCTGATGTGAAATGCGCTGTTGCTCATGCAGAATTTGAATTGCCCCCTAGGGATGATTCTTCTCTTCAGTTGCTTTGAACAGGGTAATTCAGGAAGAAGGAGTCTCCCGTTTAAAGGCTGGAGTCAGGCTGGCATAACCCTGGCTAAATCTGCTCACTTGATTCAGGACTTGCACATTTTCACACATGTTCAACCACATCATGAAACTCACTTGAAATACATGGGTCCCAGTTGAGCCAGCCCAGCCATGACCTCTGCAGTGGGACAGTTTGTGGAGTTTTATAAAAATCCCACTCATGAGTGACAGTAGCAGAAGTAACTCTGCTTTCAAGGGCACAAAGGGAAGGTTAAAAGAATGCATTATTCAAAACAAATAGCCTGCTTATATAAATCATAGACTGTCTTAAGGTGACACCTGAGACTACCAGCTATTGGAGGAGAAGAATGTTGAGCAGTCTGCCTTATTAGAGGGCAAAGAGGTGTTGTTCTGTGCAACACCACCTCCCTCCAGAGACCCTGGAAGGAGAGGCATTTTTAGAAGGACAATTACAATGACTAAAGGGTTTAAAGGAAGAAGCCAGGACTCCTGAGATTCCACACTGCAAAGATCACACCATCAATAAGGGATGTAAATTCAGCACATCCATGAGGATCCCACCCTGTCCTGCTCTGTCTTCCCTCCTGGGGACCCTATGCCCACCACTGTTCTTCTTTGGTCTCCACTCCCCCAGTCCCTTTCTAGCTTGTAATGGTTTCTCAATATGGCACAGCACCAGTAGATGAAAGCTGGAGCCATGGTGAGCACAGGAGGCACAGCCACTTTCAAGGAGCAGCTGTGTGCCTCCCTGGTCCTGGCTCTAGAAGGAGCTTTCTTCACCTCCACTCCCACTTTGCTATATCCCATTTCCTTGTCAGTCCACTACAGAATTACAGAGCCAGCACCTCCCTTTATGTAAGAGGGACTGCTTCACAGAGCTAGGGTTTATCCAAGGTGCCCTCTCTGACAGAGCAACTTTGAGAAGTTTTGATTTTCTGCTGTGTCACCCCTCAGCTTCAATCTCCAAACACCATTTCCAGCTCTGCCTCTTTTCCTGCACCCTAGTCAATAACTTCCTAGGCTTTGGCATGGGTCTCCTGCTGTGTTTGCCATAGTAACCACCGTGCCAAAGTCTCTGAACTTAGGAGAAGATGCTTTAACTATTTATCATGCTGCCATCCCTTGCATCAGCCTTTTTAGTTCCTTTAGGCCTCTTAATCTATTAAAATCAGCACAACAGATGTAGTCTGTCCCAGTGCAAATTCCTCTGTATAGTGCATTCTTAACTGTCAGATTCACGAGAAATGTGGATTTTTGAAGAAAGTGAAGTCTCTACCTGTTTCCTCACGTGCACATTTCCTTCCACAGGGATGTTGTACGCACTCCGGATCAAATTCTTAGCAATGAAATAATAATATACTGAAATGACAGATAGGGGGATGATATAAAATATCAGAAAGGATGCCATTGAGTGAATTTTGGGATGCAGCCCATCAGAATGCGGGTAAGGAGCACAACTGATGAAGGTTTTATTAGTCCCTTTGTCATGGAAAGGGTGCAGATCGGAAAATACTGCTTCAGGAATGGCAAGCAACATGGATACAATCCAGATTATAGCAGCTCTCACACAAATCTTCATCAGTGCATGGGATGCTTGGATCTCCATTGGCCTCACTATAGCTTTATACCTAAAAAATAGAAGAGAAATAAATAATTTATTAACCTCAAACCTCAGGCATCCTATGCTTGTTTGTTCTTCTATTTAGAAAAAAAACCAAACTAACAAAATCCTTCTTTACTCAAGACAGTGCATTTCTTTCTAGTGTTTTAAAATTCAATGTTTTTAATAGATTTCTCATTTTAAACAAGAGCCACCTGTCATGGGTCCATTCAGTTTCATATGTATTGATTCTGAGTTCATTTAATTTGTAATAAACCCAACAAAGCACAGTGCTGCCTGACATTAATATGTATGTCTCCAAATAGCATTAAGATAGGAAGTGCAATCACAGACTTCTCCTCAAAAGCATACAGCAGCTTACACCCCTGCAACAGTGTTCAGGGAAACTGGGGGAAGGTTTTGCCTCACATTTCTTTTTGAGCTGTGAGCATGCTGGCCTCTTGCAAACTGAATATTATGTTTTCTTAAGCTCCTAAGTGTATCTTGCCCTTTTCTTTTTTTGTTGTTTGGAGGTGCAGGTAGCAATTAAGAGCTGTCCATACCAGACTAAGTAGTCAGAGCTACTAACTGCCTTTCTTGAAGAAAAGTATATATATTGTTGCTTGATAGATATGTGGAAGACTTTTTTTTTTTTTAATTTGCAATTTTGTCTTTTATGATTTCAGCTTCTCAGAAAATTGTTCTTTAAAATCCAAGAAAATTAAACAAGAAAATGTATTTGAACTTGACGTGTGTAATGAGAGGGCCAGAAAACAGAAGAGCTTCATATCTGCTAAAGTTCTGCTCTGGTAGGAGTGAACATTCCAAGTAAATCACAACTCACATATGTTTAAGGAATACAGTAGAAGAAAAAGAATGACAATGTGCCTGCTCCAGAGTCCATTTCTAATCTCCCCCCAGGATCCTGGCTCTTTCAGCCAGACAAATTGGGCACTGGGGTGGGAGCAGAGGTAGCAAGAGTAACACCCTGCCAGAGACCAGGGAGCCCAGAGCAGGGTCCTTCTGCCTGGCAGCCCAAGCCTGGGATACCTCATGTGTGTGACTGATTCCCTATGTAACCTACCTGCTTTATCCTGAGGATCCACATTTCAGAGATGGCTCTTATCAGTCCTGCATTGTTTTAACTGGGTAATTGCCTTGTTGGCAGGATAAGCACACATTCAACTTGTAGTTATAAGCAATACCTTCTTCAGCATATCTACCCTGTCCTTCTGTGTATGTATAGATGTGTATATATGTGTACATCTCTGTGTATCTTATATATATACACATATATTTATATGGATATGGATATATTTTATACATATGCATGTATATATATATGTATGCATACTTACATTTATATTTATTTGTATTAGTTTCTCTACAGACTGTATCTGGACATCTCATTAGCAGGTGTTTCTTTATACAATCCTACACGTGTCTTGTATAGATGATTTTTCCTTCAATGAACTGAAAACACCTTGCTTAATACATTAGTCTTCCATTTAACCATTTATTCTCCAAGCTCTCCAGCTCCCATTTATTTCAGCTATACAGCTGCAGCAGACAGACAGCATTTTTCAGGCTTGCATAACACCTCTTTAATTTGCACTCTGAAGCTGGGGATTAAGTGGTGTCATACTACAATGCACAGTCTTTCAGTGCATGATCATAATCTCAGATGAAGAAAATCACAGCGTTTGAGCAAACAGGATGATACAACTATTACAGCAACAAAAGAGAAGAGCTAGACAGATTACTAAAACAATGTAGCTTAAATACCTCAATGTATAGTCTAATTCACCAGCTAAAACATCATTGACAGAAACACTAGCTAACTGAACACCTTCTGTGAACCCTAAGGAAGATAAATGTAAAAGGAAATTAATTAAGTATCGAAGTATTCACAAATTTAGTTAATTCATAGGCATATCTGGAAGGGCTTATTGTATGCTTATCAACATTACATGTTAGCATAATTATTTCAGGGATTTTCTTATATAATATAAACAGTTGAGAAAATACTTTCCAGTATCAGTTCATTTCCAGTATCAGGAAGTTGAAGAATATAAAGAGAGATATTTTATTTTTATTAACACTAATAGAGTTGGGAAAGTCAGAAAATGAAACCATTTCAAGTTATTAGTACATTTTAATTAGTGATTACATTTACAAACCATATCATTTTGAAATAACCTAATTAGAAATGGCTACTGTTTATTAGGCCTTTAGTTTATTTTTAAAGCCTCCTACAGCAGATACAAAAGAAGACTTGAGAGAGGTTTTGCTTGCAAGGGTTTCAGTGTAGAACAAAAGCATGAGGTTTAAAGCACAGAAAAGATAAACAGAAAAAAAAACACAAAAAAAACCCAACAAAGCAAGAAAACAGGTTTTGACAATGTAAGTTTTCCTGCTTTGTATGTCGGATCAGTTGTGACTGACTTCACGGCAGGCAGGCTACGCCTTCAGGACATGAGTGATGTCCATGCTGTTTGCACTGCCAGCAAATGCCTTTTAGCTCTTTCAGCTCCTGTTCATGTCATAGCTCTCCATTCTGTCTCCTGTGTAAAGCGTGGTCTGCAGGTGGGAATGGCCACCTGAGCACTCACTGGAACTGGATGAGTTGAATCCAGTTCTCTGTGTCTGCATTAGGCTATGGAGGTGCCATGCACCTCTCCTGCTACAGCTGCCCAGTGCAGGGTGTCTGCCTTGGCATCTGCTATAGTCAGTGGAGAGAAAGAGGCAACTCTGGGGGTGATTCCTCCAGGCCAGAAGTAGGTGCCTGAGAGGAGTGGGATGGTATGTCTTCTGGTGTTGCCCCTATTTCTACTTGCTGCAGTCAGAGCCTGGGCAAGGAGGCAATTAGTTTCATAGTTAATTTTAGATGGCTAAATTTAGACGTGAGCCAGAGGTACATAACTTTCCCATGCTTTCCCATCCAGTATTTGAATAATTCAATGCATTTGGAAGAGGACATTGATGAATAAACCTGTCTACCTCAGTGGACCTAGGTGGCCAGCTGAGTTAGCCCTCATGCAAAGGTCTTACAACAGTGTTATTTTCAACCCATGCAGGATCATAGGCTCTAAGAGTATGTGTCACATCTTGTGCTCAGTTTCTCTGCAGGAGATGCAGATATGGCCTTGGGCCTCTGCTGGCTTTCACACTCAGTCCCCTTAATTATGGTTTCATATCATTTTTTTTACAGCTGAACTCCTTTTCAGACCCGCTTTTAAATAAATTTTTGAAAAAAAATTAAAAACCAGAAGTATGACTCATGGCCTACAACAAAGGTCAAAGCTTAAAAAGAAAACTACGCCTTCTAAGGATTCAGTTGAATAAAAAAGAATATAGTCAAGAACTTGTGTCAACCCCAATCTCTCTCTGGCTGTCAAACAGCCCAGATGAAAAAGACTGTGTTGCCAATCTGATAGAAAATATGAAAGAGACACTGACCTTTACTACTGCTCAGTCTTTGAACTTCTCTGTTCTCACTGTGATTGAGGAGCAGCAACCTGCCTCGTGTGCAGCAGCTGCAAATGACCCTCTGGCCAGGACAGATGCCAGAGATCTCTGTGTCTCACAGTCTCATTCAAAGAAGCCCACACAAAAAAATTACACATGAAGGTATCTTAAGTGCACTTCATATCACCACCCTTCATGAGGAACTGTAAGGATTCCCCCCACAGGGCAATCCTCCCCTCCACCAGCCATGGTGAATCTGGTGCCATCCTTCTTCTGCAGAAATAAGATGAAATTGTTGTTTCAACACAGGAAGCCAGAATTTAATAATTTATAATCCGTGATCACTTCCTGACCTAATCCTCAACATTCTTTGGGGACCTGATAAGAGCCCACAGAGTGTGTGCCTCTCCATTGAAGCCTGGAGAATGTCTTAGAAACATCTCTTAGGATCTCTATTGTGCTCACTGAATAATTGTTCCTCATAACTCAAATTAACAAAATGACCATAAACCATTAAAATGTGACAAACACAAGGTTCTTCTGTAGTAAATACTTTTCCCACTGTGGTTAATATGCCAGGAACACCAGAAAAATGTGTCATTATCCTTGTGTTAATAATAAGGTAACTAACAGAAACAGCACCTAATGTACTCTAAAACTTTGACTGTGCAAACATTGGCTAATACCATACTCTTAGCTCCAAAGCTGCAAATTCAAATATAAACACAGAAGTAGCTTTATCATAAAAAACACACTTACAGTTATGCTCTCCAAAGACACTGATCAAAATAAGGGCCCAAATGGATGTCAGCATTTACTAGATGCAGCTTCTTTGACAGTGTAAAATATTTTAGCCATCTTTGTGTTCCTCAGCTGAGCCAAAAAAATCCATAACTACTGAAGGCTTTGCCTTCTAAGTCATATTGCCTATATCTTCCCAAGCAGAGATATGAAGGGTTGCAATTTTTCTCCCACTCTGGATAATAAAAGACCTTGTCCCTAAGGCTGCAGCTTCAGTACAACCCTCATGGCTTTTTCCTTTCAATTCCATCCACTTACTTGAGCTTGCTACAACAGCCACAAGAATTAAATTTAAACAACTAAAGCATGGGAGGAAAATCAGATGCTTCCCCTAGATTTTAAGCTAATTTATCTCCATATATCTCATTGTCTGCTTTCTGTTTTTTCATGGACGTGACTTTATGCTGTGTGGGGAAGATGGTGCTGTAAGCAGACTGAGCTTGCTTTCCTCTTTTATGTTTGATTTGTATTACAGCCTTTCTCCAGTCCCTTATGTCAGTAATTAAAGCTAGTAGAGATGGCCCATACAACAGCCCTCATTGTAAATATTGTAAGTTTGGGCTGCAAAAGAAAGACACAGGCTTTATTAAGCTGGGAGATACCACTTTCTGTAGTACCTTTTTGGCCATGAGCTGAGATTCTTATAGTACAAGATACCAGTGTGTGAGTGCAGCTGCTGCCAGTGGCAATGGGAAAGAAACATCCTTCCCTCGTGACAGTGAAGGTGTCTGGTCACACAGGTAGGTGGCTGTCTGGGAT